CCTAAAAGAAATCTTTCTGTAAGAGTCACACTCAGCTACATCTACTGATTAGCTGCCTGCTGCAGAATCTCTTTCCTACTTTTTAAATATATATATATATATGCATAAGTGCAGGTTAGAGTTGTGTGTGCTCTCAAAACATACATCTGTATGAGTTACCTGAAGCTTTGAGAATTTGGAGTATAAGGCTACACGGTAGCTGTACCTATAAATCTATTTCTGCTTTGTTCATGAAGCATCCTCTCATCAGAATCCCGGATTAAACATTCTAGCAGAATTCATTACAGAATGCAACCTTTGCTACAGAGCTGCCCTGCAGAAATCAACTTCCCATGTTTTTTAGAGCTAGGAATATAATTCTTGAGAGGACCAGATTGGTAACTCAGGCCAGTCCCCTGAAGTCACAGGCAACCATGTGATAGCTGTTGGTGCAAGGGGTACACTGAACATTCTTCCCATACATCACACGTACCGCAAGGTATTTCCTTATGTCCCACAGTAAACAGAGGCTCCCAGCTGTTACAGCTCTCAAGATTATTTTCAAATCTCATCTCACACAGAAACCAATTGTTCACCAACATCTGTAAACAAATTACTTGAAATTATAGCTCTGAATTCTCCACTACTGCCATTCATGTCACGGGAAGGCCATTCATCTGTGCTTAGTGCCGTGGACAGCAGCAGCTGTGTAGGCAGTAGATGGTATTAGCACAACCTTCCTGATATATCCACCCAGCTTCTGGAAGTCTAAACCTAAAGGTCCTCCAGACCCAGAGAATGTATCCATTCCTTTACATTTAAGAGCAATTAATTGTTTTTTATTCTATTAATTTGAATTTCTTTTGGACTTGAATATGCTTCCAGCAATATACTGTAGCAATGAATTCCTAAGTTTAATCATGCATTGCATGAAAACACTTCCCATTGCTTTAACTTTTCTGCCAGATAATTTGGTGTGCCATAAATCTGGTGGCAAGGGAACTTGTGAATAACCACTCTAATCACCTTTTCTCGTGCACTTTATGGTGTTATAGAGATCTGTCACAACCTTGGTTCAGCTGTTTCTTTTCTGCACTGAAGAGTCTTAGTCTATTTAATTGGTTCTCATATGGAAGCTATTCTAGATCTCTAACATACCTCACCCACTTTTTTTTTTTCCATCAAACTTTACTACTTCTGACACCAGCCTGTCTGAATTGGAAGGACCAGAACTGAAGCAGCACATACAGAACATTTGTATTTTTGTGTAACATGTTTTCTGCTTTGCCCTCTGCGTCATTCTTAGGGTTCTTCTTGCCTTTTTGATAGCTACTGAACATTCACAGAACTACCCAAATGACTCCAAGAGCTCCTTACTGAGTGGTAATTTGGAGTCTAGCAGAGCATGATGTCAGCCTAATAATGATAATACAAATATCAATTAAAAGGTAATTAGCAGTACTAAATGCTAACATGCTTTTCTGGTCCAGCTTTACTTGGAAGGAAGGAAAAGACTTAAGATGACCTAGCTTTGTACTGAAACACTTTACAGAGCTAACAAACTATTCTGTCAGGTCTATCAAGCACACGTAATCACTAATGGATGAGTAGGAGGAATACAGAGTAAGAAACTCCTAAGTTAAACAGGACTCCCTAAGTAGACAGATACATATTCAGTGGATCAGCTGGTTATGACAGAGAACAGTTTCATTGTTTTCACCACCTGTTGGGCCTTACAGATGTGAATGACAGTGATTATACAACTGCTGTAATTGAACATTAATTAAAACCCTTATGCAATATTCACAGGGGATTATATTGTCTTTAAAGCAATTTGCTAACAGGGAGGGCACAAAGAGACTTGTTCAAAGTTCCATATGCCTGCAGAGAAATACACGGGTACATCTTGCAGTGTCTTTGACGTAGGTTCTCCCTAGTAACACTGAAAGCAAATCTATTTGATACTGGCAGTCAAGAAAAGTAACTTACAGAAGAGAGGTTGTTCTTTAGCTTGTGCTGACTCACTCATAACATCAGGTGAAGCTACATTCATCTTGACATTGTCTTCAGAGCAAAGTACAGTGGTAGCTTCACTGTCACAAGGGGTTTGACCACGGGGAGATGACCAACTGCTAAGCTGAGAGACACCTGGAGTAGATGTCTTGTTTCTCTTCTTGCTAACTAGACTGTACCATGGCTTCCAGATGCATTTCTGTATAAAGAAGAAAAAATGAATAGAAAGGAGGCATTTTCTATAGTGATTTTAACAACAAAGAATCATATTTCTGTAACTAATTACAATATTAGATCCTTCTGATCCTCCTGTAACCACACAGATTCTTCTGCAGTGACTTCAAACAAGCTAGTGATTTCTTGGGTAGGACCTCCTTCATTTTGTTATCTTTCTTCAATACTTCTCTGCTATAGCATTAATGCCAACAGATTAAACTAATTTGTAAAGAAGTAACACTGCAGCTGCAAAGAGGGTTGGTAATAGAGCAACCTCCTCATGTACAGGGATGAATAGGTCAAAGGGGGTTGATAAATGTTCAGGTCTCCTCCCAACACCCAAGAACCTGGCAAATGCAATTCCTGTGTCAGGAATGTAAAACCAAAGTCTCAAAGTAGACTGAATTCTGCAGGCTTGATAATCAGAACTATATGTATTATAAAGCAAGTGCCCCTGAAGGAACCCAATATTTCTACCATAAGTTTCATATCAAATATGAAAAGTAGTGTCCAAGAAATATTAGCATAAATGACAGAAAGGAAATAGTCATTAATTCAGGGAGGAAAATAAAAGCCTCAGCATTTTTAAATGCTAAAAGACACATCAAGACTGACGTGCACTTCAGTTTCTTCTGCTCAAGTTCATTTGGACCTGACTTTAGAGAACTGTAAGACTGTATTGAAAAATCAGAAAGCCCTCCTATTTAGAAACAACTCTTATTTATGTGACTTCCTGCCTTTCCCTCTGTTTGCTAACAGCAGGATGAATATTTGCATAAAAACACAATCTTTGTCTTTTCAAAGTTTCACAACTTTTGCTGCTTATTCCCCAACAGAAATCATAATCTTCTATTGAATAATTTTAATTATTATGTCATGAGGGTACGAGCAGCAGGTGTTGAAAAAATAACAAAAGCAAATAGCCTGCAGGTAACAACAGCTCATATTTCTAAGAGTGCCTCACCTGGGGTTCTAAAAAGCACTTCATAAAATTGTTTAATTTGGCCCTTGAGGGGGCAAAGCAAGGAACTAAAAGCTTAAGCAGACTGCTGAAGATCAAAATGTAAGATGTGCTACAGGGTGAGAAACCCTCTGGTTCTTTATCGAGTTCTCCCAGTTATACTCCCAAGCATCAGTCATTCCCCCTTCATTTTCCTCCAGTCACTTCAGCAGTTTCAAAAAGCTAGTCTTTTTATGGTTTCAGAAAGACAGTAAAACAGTTACCAAGCGTTACAGATAATTTTCTAGTGTTTAATTTCCTCTCAGGTATCAACTTTATTTTTCTTTTAAAAGACTTTCATCTGAATTGCTTGTTTTCTCCTTTCTCAGCTTTGCTTTGAAGGAAGCAAGCAAATCCTGCTTCTTTAAAGGCCTCAACCTTTGGTGTTTGTTTCCAAATTTAGCTTTAAATTCAGGGTAAAAAGGCAACCAAACAAATAATGACTGGAACTGACTAGAATAAGGCCTCCAGGATACCAGTCTGAAAACAACTTATTTGTGTTAACAAGTACTGCTGCTTGACTAGGTCATAAAAAAAGGAGGCAAATGCAAACAAGAGGCTAGTTAGGTTTTAGCTGAATATTTAATTCTTCCCACATCAGTATTTACTGCTAAAACCAAGCTACAGTTCAATCAGACAAATCCTGCTCTTCCTATTACCTAGTATCAAATTGTTATTCTTTAAAAACTAGAGAGACAACTACTCTGCAGTCACAAGATCCAGAGCATAAAATGTGGTATCATGGAGTTCAATTAAGCAACAAATCAAATCCTTTAAAAGTTGGATTAAGTCCCAAGGAAGAAATTAACAGTGAAGTCACCTTTGTATTTGTAATAAGGACCTCCCACATGTACATTCTTAACTTTTCCTCTTCGACTTCTCTTGCTGTTTTTTTACAACCATCAGGGTCCCTAAGTGAAAACAATTCAATTAGTTTTCCATTTCCAGAGCCTTGATTTTAAGTACTTTTAAGAAATGCATTAAATGGAGAGTAAACAGTATCTCACTACTACTATGACGTATATCTTTGCTTATAAAAAATAGAAAGAAAATGCAAGGTGTATAAGCCATGAGTAAGTTACAGTCACAAGTGAAGAACCTAAAGAAATCACAGTTATTCTACAAACTATCATGCATGTAACTGGGCCAGATTATGCTCCCAACCTCCTCTGTACAAGTACTGAAGAATTTTGGCCAGTATAGCAAGATTTCATGGATAGAAATGACAGGAGGTTCATGAAAGTTTGATTTTTCTGAGCTGTTGGCTAAATGAAGACCTCTACTTGTCCACAAGTTTAACTATTACATCATGTTGACAAAGGTAAATGTGGAAGCTGCAGTCTCTGCAGCTGTGGTATAACAACAGGTCAGTGCTGAGGTAATCTCATTGATCATCCACCTAATCAGTCAAAGGTTTTACAAAGCAGATCAGTGTTCTAAGCTTGCTTCCTTCACCACATTTAAAAACAAAAAACATCTTTTCCTGCAGACAGAGCCTGTGTGCTTTAAGTATAAACAATATTTCATGATCACTGTGTAATGAAGTATATGTGTATGCAGATCAGTTCAAATGACATTGAGGGAAAGGAGAGGTGGTTAGAGAGAGCAAGAGCGAGCAGAAGGCAGCATGCAACAAGAGACTGCGCTACTTCAGAACCTGGAAATGGATCCACAGCCTGACGCTTTTATACTCTGCTGCCAGCCTTTATCTGTGAGGCTTGCTGACAATCTGTTTCTTTTATCCCAGTCTATTGGTTGATCCTCATATGTAAAGGGCTGAAAAATCCATTCACAATACATACTGGATTGATTCTTCCATCCAATTTATCAAGTTAATTCTATATAATGCTGCTCTAAAGCCTCTGTTATGCATAAAATATAGTTTGTCTTGACTGAGAACATACAGAGAAAACAGAACAGCTTTGAAGAGCTCTGCCCTGCAAATCAGGGCATAAACTGTTCACCGTTTTACCGAACACTCATTAATAAATTTAAATACATGTTATATCAATATAATCATGTTGAGTAAAAATGTTAGGAACTTAAATTAATATTTACTTTTAACAGTATAGCAGTTCAGAAGCAATGCATCTTTTACAGGCACCCATCACTGTCATGCATAATTGACAGAATAAAAGCAGCTACTAAATATCACTTCATAGCTGGCTTTGTTCTGTAATTATAATATATATGGAATTCCTGTTGAGGTCACTGGGACAGTCCTCCAAGGGAAAGCTATGGGAATATACAGACATCTATTACTACACGTACTTAATTTGCATAATTATTAACCAAAAGAGAAAAAGGGAAGAAAAAAACAACTAAATTTGGCTGGGATAGGTCAGCATTTTCTCCTAGTTCTGCAACTTGCAATAATAGAAAACCATACTGTGCTACTGCATGGGGGCAAAGTTGATGCAAAATTTGTTTATATTGCACAGCACAGAATTAATAATATTTCACTCAAATACCTATTACTTGAAAGGAGAGCAGAAACAACATATAAAGGAGAAAAGATCCCAAACTCCTCATTCCATCTACTATCCTGCATCGCACACGTACCTTGGATTCCAACAGGTTAATATGGAACGCATCGAACTGTTGGATTTGAGAGTCAAAGCTTTCAAAAGCCAGTGGATGGCACACAGCTGTCGGAAAAGATGATCACTGCAAAGAGGAGAAACAAAAGTGTTATACTCTAGAGTCAGAGAAACAGTCAAACTGGCATAATGCTGGCTGAAACAGATACATTGCTGTAGCAGATGATTTTTATTTTTTATTTTCATTGTCCCAGTGAATTCTCAACACCTCTTAAAGGTTTTTGTAATGTTGATACATAACTCTGAATCCTGAAAGTGTATTTGGGGACATGACATTTCAATGGACTTATCTTGGTGACGTGCACGGTACTTTCAATACCTGTGGGGACTCCACAGCATTTATTCCTTTAGGGTATGGATACTTATGGTTTTTGGATTCTACAGTAGCTTCTAAGTTTTGCATTGAAGAAAAAGCAGTGTATGAGTGTAAAATGTTGGACTCATCTTTTTCTGAACTAAGATTATCTTTGAAGAGCTCTGCCCTGCAAATCAGGGCATAAACTGTTCACCGTTTTACCAAACACGCCTTAATAAATTTTAGCTGATTCCACATGCAAATGTAAATAAAGACACTTTTGGTGAGCAATTGGATTAATGAACTTTGCCAGTGTGTATTAGCAACTACTATAAAATCTATAGAAGCGTACACAGTACAGCACTGTCTTCTCCCTCTCCCTTTTGTAGGCCTACATTTTTTTTTTAACTAGGCAAATTAAATTTCAATTTTGACAGCCTTTCTTTAAAACAAGCCTAATCTTGAAAGTTATATCACATAAGCAAATTTTATGCAACTGAGAACCTGCTGAGTCAAGATCAGCATGGCAAATTATCTGTGTTTATGTACACAGGCACAAGGTTTTCAGTAACTCATTAGGATTCAATCATTTAAAGTTAGAATTTAACAGTTGCTATTAGTAAAGACAGATTATTTCACCATAAACTCCTGAAACTCTTGGGATATGCGTTCACCAGTTGAACAGCAGCTCTGGATATATGTGTTATGGGTCTGTGTTGCTATGAATTTTGCTTATGTCCTACCAAGGAGGGCAGGCCATCAAATATATGCCTTCAAATATACCTTTTTGCTCCAGGGGGGCTTGGAATCAAGACACTGGTATAAACAGGAGTGAAAGACCGTAAAGTCATATTTTTCTTCTTCTCAGACTCCCCCAGGTGGCTGCCTTCTGTTAGAGAGCAACTGTAGGAAAGGACAAAGACTGACGTTAAAGAAGGAGTATGTGAAATAAAAACAGAGCAAATAAAACTGTTTATTGTATTCATATCACCATACTCCCTCTTATTCTCCTTACATTTAAAAAAACCTTAGGTATATTTCTAAATTGTTAATTGCCACATTTATTATCATTTATTAATATATATATTAATTATATGATATTGATAATGATATGATATTAATGTTTACCAAAATGCAGAATTATTATTTCTCATATTTTTACAATACTTTATAAATAATAAATATGGTACTATTTGTATTTATATATTTATACTACTACATATTATTTGCAATTAAGCATTTATATCATCACTGAGTGAGGGCTGACAAATGGAAGACAACTAAAGCATGACAACAGGCATTAGAGGTGCACTGAAGAGGGCAGCGTGAGCCAAATGATTGAAGACTATCTAATGATCAAATGGTGAGAAAACCTGAAGAAGGTGATAAGTAATAGGTCTGAACTAGCAAAGAAACCCACCCTGCAAGCTAAGCCACTTATTCTGCTGAATGCAACTGTTTTTATTCTTAATGCTGTAGTCCCATTGTGGGAACAAAAGCATGGCACAAACTCACCAGGCCTCCTCATTTTCTCCTTAGAGAATCAGTTCTGAGTTGGATATAAAACCTCTCCTGAGTTCACTAACCTGCCCTCTAAACTTCTTCCTTTCTAAATAGCACCTCAAGATTTTTTTTTCATGCTTGCTAAGTTTACAGCTGCTCATTTATCCAGATTTTAAGCATTTTCTCTTTCTATAGTTCACACAATTAGTAATATTCTGCCTCAATACCAAGAAATGTCAGAAACTGGAAATTATTGCTTTTTAAAGCAATTACCCTTGGACCACCCAAAGCCCTCTCAGTTGACTTACATGTTTATTTCTTCCTCTGCCTCCTCTGCATTAGAGGAGTGTTTGCCTAACTGGAACTCAGTTCTCCATCTCGTGCCCCGAGCCTGCTGGTCTGCTTTCAGTGTGTTCTTTCTTTCCAGTGATTCCTGGTGAAGTATATGAAAGTATTCTCCACCGTGCTTCACAGTATTGATATGATGCCTGACAAAAATCATCACAAGTTGGTCAGTGTACTAAAGACACAGTATCAAATTAATTTTGCTGTTACCCACCAATTTATTTTTAAAAAAAAATTCACATTCTTCTATAGTCAAGACTTCAACATTAGTATTTCCTTCTTAAATATGATAACAAATGACAATTACCCAATATGAACTGGGAAACCTTTCTCTTACCTCCTTCAGCACTGCACAGGTTAACTATTGGATGTCTTGAACTCAGCATCACTTTGTCCACTACTTGATTTAAAACCTCCCTGCCTAATTCTGGTTTATATCAGCCAATTGGCCACTGGGCCCCTCATTGTCTTAACTCAGCTGTTACAGCCTAGCAGGCATTGCCCTGAAGCTACCTGTTGGCTGCTAAATTCCACTTGCTGTCAGAGGGCTGAATTGTTACTAACAGGGAAGCTGCCAGTGAAGCCTGTGAGTGAGCTGAAGACAACAGGTATTGCTGCAAAAGTTCAGTTCCATCTGAAGATGGGGAAAAACTTCTTTATTTTGAGGGTGACAGAGCACGGGCTGCCCAGAAAGGTTGTGGAGTGTCCTCTGGAGAGATTCAAAACCTGCCTGGATGTAATCCTGTGCAACCTGCTCTGGGTGAACCTGCTTTGGCAACCCCCAGATGCTACAACATTTGTAGAACACATTTCTTCAAACCATAACCAGAGCCTGTAATTTACTAGGAAAAAAAAAAAAAAAAAGAAAGAAAGAAAAGGTGTGAAAGGGATATGGCACACAATTACTCTACAGCCTTTGATTAAAATGTTAGCAAGAATGTAGCAGCTGATCCAAGCCAGATGAGCATAGTGTCCAGGTGTAGGACACATCTCTTAAAGTTAATGTGTTGCTGATGGTTGAATCAAGTGTCATCAGGCTGTATTGATTCTTTCAAACACCATCTAGGCTTGACAGTTAGGCCTCATTTGTTTTACTGAGGAGTAATAACTCATTTTTCTTACCAGACATGCATGAAAGCACCTGAAAGTCACACAGGGTGCAAATTTCAGGCACTGAATTCAGTAGTTTTCAAGGGGAACATTTTACTCCCTGCTTGCTTCCCTTGATGAAAAAACACTTGCACAATTTAATGGTTTTGGGATTGGGTTTTGGGTTTTGTTGACATTATTTTTTCAAGTCTAGCATCTGTAAATATAACCCTGAAAACATTTCCAGTTCAGGTATATAATAAACTGCTAGATATTTCTATACTAACTTTGGAGAAAGAAAAACAAAGATAAGAAAATAAGATGTCCCTGATAAGAAGCACTGCATGCTGCAGAAAAAACATAAGGATTTCAGAATCATGTTAGACTGGCTTCATATTTTTTATAGGAACCTAGTATTTTGCATAACAGACTGCTCTTTGAATACTAGAAAGTGTTTAATGGCCTTGAATTCTTGCTTTACATCATTTTCCAGTAGTTTTCTCTCTCTCTTTCTGACAACTATCAAGGTATTGGTATGTAAAAATATTTTTTCCCCCTTCAGAGTGCTTCATCTAGATTTCTGCATGTGCTAATGTAGGCATTCCTTCTCAAAGATCACAATCCCTGCTGCAGCTGTGTGTTATAATGCCACAAATAGTGAACAATGAAGTTATTACATGAATCAAATACAAGTGGTAGAGAAAGATAAATATACTAGAAAGTTTTTTACACCACTATTATTGAAGAAAGATGCATATATGGCAAGGACAATCAGTACCTTTTTTAAAGGTTTATCTAATATAGAAGGCTTTAATATGTGTAAACCAAAATCAGTGATCCCTCTCATATACCAAGAGGGATAAGAAACGTTGTGCACACTTGGGAATGAACATTTTTAGTCTATGACTTCCTTGAAGTCCCAGGTATTACAAAAATTAGCTCTATAGTCTCCAAAGTATGAAAAAAGAAATAAAATAGAATTAACAGACATGCAGCATATAGAAAAGCTGTAATAACCACCTGATTTAAACAAACAAAAAAATCCTTTCATAAGTCATAGAATTATTTCTGGGATATTCATGAATGACCCTAAAGGTTCATGGACCCTTGTCAGGAAAACAAATTAAAATATAACTAAAAATAAATCCAAACTTAAAATACAGAGGTGATGCTATAGATTTACAGTGTATTGCTATAATAGGACAACAAATATTTCTCCTTTAAAATTCTGGCATTACAATACCATAACTTAATAAATTTAGCTGGGCTGACTATTTGACAAGTAGGTGAGACTCATTCATTAAAATGCAAATGTAATTGAGATAAAATTTGGAATACATTTATTAAAGTAATTGAGCTTCAGTCAACTGTAGTCACAACAGATTTTCAACTGCTGTTCAGACAAAAGAATTTGTCTTATTTTTCTTAAGTTAATATCTTTATCAGCATGAAAATTAAAAGAGTTTCCTGAGCAGTAATAATGTACCATGGAATACTTCAAGTTTTCTCTACAGGAATTTATTGCTATAGATAAGGGTCAATGACATGCACAAAGGAGTGACCCAGTACTACATGTAAAGAAAATTGGTTGCAAGTGTATTTTCAGTGCTCGGTGTTATGTACTTATTAAATTACTCTTTAAATCCTTTAGGGACTCAAGGTCATCAGTTAATTGTAATACAAGTCCATTAAAGTGTTGGGAAATTGAACTTTTACTGCTAAGATTTGGGATTCTTGATGCCTTTCTTTAAGGCATCAAGAAAGACTTGATAAGAAATAATATTAAGAAATGACTTACAAAAATACAAGGAAATAATAAATTTGTCTTAATTACAATTTAGGGCCTAGAAAATCATTAAGAAGCTGTAATACCAATGCCAGAAACCTTTCCATCGGGGTAAAAAGAAGCTAGACACTTACCAGGTTTTTTTACACTCTGTTTAAATATACCTTGTTTAAGTACACTGGGTCATCTTCACTAAATTCAAAGGAATTGGACTAAGATTGTATTTGTCCCAGAAGAACAAATTTTTCAGTTAACAACCTCACCTCTACTGTGTACACAAACAAATTCAGTGGGAGACGGTTTCCTAAAGGAAGGACATACGGTGTGATACCAAATCCTTGCTCAGCTAAGCTGGTGTAACTCCAGTCTGAACAGAATTGTGAGGCAGAGGGGCAGGAGGCTGCACACCTACATGGCTGTCCCCCTACTAAGCAACTATGTTCACTGCAGTGGGCGGTGTTACCAGGGTGCTTCAGAGTCATTAACTCTTCCTGCTCATCTCCCTCTGTCCTGTCCCCTGAGGTGCAAAGAAGTTGCAGTGTATTTATACCAGCTTGATTCTGTCTCCAAGGCCAAACATTATATTATGATCCTGGTGAACAAATACTGTGAGCTGTAAATAAAATAACTATGTATCTATCAAACAAACTACATACGTGTTTCTCTGATCATGGAAATCGTTAGCCACTGTTTCATAAAATGGCTTATTCCATTTTCTTATCTTAATGGATACAGCCTTTATATCAATAAAGCTAGCAACAGAACACCTCCTGCTTCAGACATTAAACATAAAGAATTTAGCCTTTTCCACAGGCTTATAGCCAACTGTAGATATAAATAAAATCAATGTGTCATTACTCAAAGCCACTGAGAGCACAGGCTTTCTAAATGCCATTTCCTATATTTTCATAAAAGCATTTAAATCTGCATCTGCAACACTCCCTACTAGACCAGTGAAAGCTCCTCTTGAGGCACAAGGCCAGACCCTGCTGAGGGTGTTGCAAGGTGAGTATCAGCTGGGCACTGCCCTAGTGACAAACTGAATATTGAGCTAAGGCTTCCCTGGTGAAAAGCAAGTGCAATTTTATACACACTGCCACTTAAAAGCGTTCTGAGTAAATATTTTCTATAGCAGAAAAAGTAATACAACAACAATTGATTTCTGTATAAAACAATGCACAGGAGGCAGTAACTTTGAAACTACAGTAAATACAACTAAACTGTATCCTGAACATTACAGGATAAACCATGGATTAAACACCTTTGTAATTCTTCTAAGTGAACACTTAGCATTATTTCCAGCCATGCCATCATGAGCAGTGATCCCATCACAAATCTGAAATGAGGCTGATGGGTATTTGGATCCTGAAGAATTCAAAGAAATATCCACTGAAGGAAGTGGTGAGAGCAGGAAGCTTGCTCCATTTGGATGAAGCTTGAAATCTACGCCCTTACCTAGTTTTAGGGGGCACTGTGGTAGTGGAGAGTCTGTCTTTTTGAACTTATGACAAAGTGGAAGTTTTGACAACCTGAATTAAGGATCCCATGGTAATCTCTGCAGGAGCACAAACGTTAATAACTGCATTCTCATCAAAGTTCAACTGATTAAATGTTACTGTCCTTTCCACAATTCCTTTCCAGTTGGAATTCAGTTTTTTATATGTAATTCCAGTCCCCCAAAATAGTATGTTGTGTGTATGTGCATTAATACACAGACTCCATTTGAACTGCTGCTGCATTGTAATAGCTGAAGTAATTCTTATATGTCCCTTAACTTTCTGACAAGGTGCCGTAACACCTAAATAGCTAATGATTATGAAATAGCAGGAAATGCCAAATTAAAAGAAAATCCATATGCACACGGTGCTTTTCTTATTTACAAAGCATACACAGAACAATAAGAGAGCAAACTCTGCATTTCTTGTAAATTGTCAACAGTGATACTGATTAATACCAGTGGGGAATCTGTTCCATCCTCTTATCAGGAAATACTGGAGCTGCTGATCATTTCACTCAGTTCTTTAGTGCTTTACATCCAGTAAATACCTATGCCACTGTCACAAATTTATTTACATTCAGACTGCTTCATATCTTTCCTGAGTGAGGTAAGGCAGTCTCATTGTAAATGAGAATTAGTGTGTTCACTTAAATACTCAGTGAGTTATTAGAGGCTGGATACACTACCCACCTTCTGAAATTACCAAAAGCCATGGAGTTCAGTTTACAGGGTGGTGAGCTAGCCAGGCCTGCTACTGAGCTCCACATTTG